GTGAACACTATTTGCATAGTGCCTTCTGCAATACACTTGTATATGCCTGGGAAAACAGTATGTTAACCCTAGCAGTGCTCCTCTGAGCTACCTATGAAAGAAACCAGGTACTTTAGCACAGAGCTTTTCAGCAGGCACTTGTATTCATTAGAAGCAGAAATAGTCTAGAGAAAGATGTAAAAAGAGCTTCTCCTCCACTTCCAACAGCACCACCCTGTTTGATAACAGCATTGTCTACTGCAAGTAGTACGAAAAAATGCCTTCTCTGGCATTTTTGGAAATTTTAACTTGGCAAGATGTTGTATTTTCAGACATAAACTTGCTACTTCTACGTTAAAGCTGCATTTGCCCCTCTGTACCTTGCCCATCAGGGTTACCTTAATGTGCAGGTATGATTTGAAAGTGCTGCATTTTTGCTTGAGTTCAGCATTACAAAGTTCATGGTTTTGAAAGTTTCAGCCTCCTTGGTGCTGTCCTTTTGCAATGTTCACTAAAGAAGAAAAACAAATAGCTCCCTTGTCTTGCCATGCTTATGGGAAGCTGTACTAGGAAGGTGATGATCCAAGAATATGATCCAGTGTTTAACCTGGTACTGAACTTGCCTTCCAACTTTTTCAACTGCCCTACCCTGCATTAAGTCCAGTTCAGATATTTTTTTAACAGCTAGGAGAGCTGGCATGCAAGAAGACAAGCTAGTCACAGGAGATGGAGGAGGTGTGTGACCCTTTTTACTGTGTGAACAGTGTGAACATAGTACAGCCCCGAAGTCTGGGATTCTTGCCTAGGGCCAGAGCTAAGCGATGCAGCACCAGCAACTGGCACTATGTAGGTCCTGGACTTAAGCACCCCTTGATGTGCTTAGCTTCATCCTGCGCAGGAGAATGATATGGTAAATCAGTCTGGGAAATGTGATTATAGCCCCAGAAACTACCAAGGTCTCAGTTGTCTGCACTGAAATCAAATGTCATAAAATTCAGGCATCCAGATTTCTCTTCTTTGCTTTTGTACATGACAAGTCCTTTCACAGTAGTTCTTAATGTTCCTCCTGTGCTCCCAAATCCCCTAGCAAAAAGTTGTAGTCATCAGGTGACACTTGATGTATATTTATTAGTTACATCACAGTTCCCTCTCTGAAACAAAAAGGATGGGAATGTTTCTCAGAGTGACTGGAATGGAATTAATATGCAATTCTTGCTCTCCTGTTTTGTTTCTATTAATTTGGCAGATGTGAAGTTGCCTATCCAGACCCTACAAGCATTCCACTCCTTCCCACTGCAAACTCTACATGCTTATTGGGGTCTCTTCCAGATCTCCTGGCTACTGGAACACTCTGCATTTCTGAAATTTGGTGCTCCTTACTGAAGGGAGCCAACCAAGAAAATGAGCTGCCTCCCTTTCTCCCTGGCAATAGACCAAAGCAGCATGACATGTCACAGCAGGGCTGAGGTCAGAAGGGATCTCTGGAGGTCACTTTGCCCAGTATCCCTGCTCAAATGTGGTTGCCTACAGGTGGTTGTCTAGGATAATGTTCAGACAGCTTTTGAGTATCTCCAAGGATGGGGACTCCACAACCTCCCTGGGCAACCTGTGCCAGCTCTTTGTCAACATCCTAGTGAATTCCCTGATGTTCAGACTGCATCTCTGCACAGCTTGTGCCCATCACCTCTGGTCCCATCCTTGGGCATTGCTGCACAGAACCTGGCTCCATCTTCTTCACGTATTGACATACACTGATGAGATCATGCTTGCGCCTCCTCTACCCTGAATAATTCCAGAAATAAATCACAGGATAAATTGGGTAGGTATTGCTCAATTTACTTTCCTCTATTAAGATGGTCATAAGCAAATTTTCCTTTCTCTTCCTGTTGTTTTCCCACTTTCCTTTTTTAACTCATGCATACATCTTCTAAAAGTCATGCTGTCACCTTTTTCCATTGAGTACCATGTACCGGGAATCTTCTTATATCCTAACAAGAAATGTTTAATCTGGAAAGGCATGCAAATAGAATAGCTCATGTGAGAAATATGAACTGGTTTGGTTAGTTTTAGGCTTTGGACTGATTTATGCTTCCATGTGAATAAAACATAATCAGAAACTGTGGAGTGATACCACTGTATATACAAAGAGGAGAACTGCTCCTGTTACTCATGGGAACGTATAAGCCATAATCTAATTTTTAGAGGTTGTGAAAGGTGTGCTAAGTGACTAATTCATTTCACTAATATCTGACAAGCCACTTTCATAATGGGAAAAATTGCCTTCCTAGATAATTTGGTTTTTAACAACTTATCATAGTTGTTATTCTCCTATGGGTGCATACTTTCCACTATGCAAAAAACTGGCATGGAATAAAAATGTCAATAAACTAAAAACCTGCATTTATCTTTAAAACAGAAGTTTATGGGTTGTTGGTTTTTTAATATGTGTAAACTATGGTCTTTGATATTTTTGCTCAGAAGATAACCACGTGTTTCATGTGGCTTCTGTTTACAAAAAGGAAAATGTATTTTCTGGGGAAAATAAACTAGATTACACTGCAGGAAAAGGAGGTTTAATGTTTCAATATTCAAGAATGCTCAGATGGAAATTCAGGTCCATAACCCTTTACTGAATTTAGGACATGGATTTTGCAGTTGTGTCTGTCCTTATATATACTGTTGTATTAATACTGAATTGCATGGGATTTGCTGTAGAAGTAAAAAGCAAGATTTTCTCTCTTTTGAGTCTAAAACCAGGTAATGACTTTGCTGACTTCAGTAGAATAATTCTATCCCTATTCCCACTATAAGCAGGGGCAAAGTCAGATTAGGAATGTATCTTGAAGTGAGTGTTCAGATGCATATTTAATCTTTGTTAAATGAAGCATTTGCAAAAATTGCACCATTCACTGCTCTTACTGTTTGCCTGCTAAATGCATTGTGAAACTGTTTGTGGTAGCTGTCTCAAATCTTTTTAAATTTAGTAGTGAGGACTCACAGCATCCAAAATGTTACTCTCCTCATGTGATGCCTCTTCAGTGTAAACTCAGTCCCATCTCCAAAATGGCAGAATTGGCTGACAGACCCACAGTGTACCAGTTTGGCTCCTCTGCCTAAATGTGGCACAGATGAGGGGCAATACCGCCTTTGCTGTCTTGGATATCTGGATCCATTGGACACACCCTCATTTGTTCTTTTCCATTTATGTTGGCCATTCCTTTCTAACAGACCATTCTCCTCCACCCAAGACAAGCAGCTAGGGGAGCAAATGATTGAAAAGGCTTGGAAACTCCTATAAGCATGGGATTTTCCCCTGGGCATGTTTTGTCTGAGTTGCTTTATGATGCAGAGGTCTTACTGGAAGAAAGAACTGGCCCTACAAGGTCTGGATACTTTGCTGAGAGATGAATACTGGTTAGCATACATAATTTCCAGTACTGCTGGGGAAAGTAAGAAGAAATCAGCCAATAATTTTGAGCTTATGCAACAAGCTGCACTCCTCTGACTGTGTTTTTTTTCCAGAATCTGCTTGTTAACTATGATGCGGTATGTGCCATTTGTGCTTTAGGGGACTAAGAGTCTAAGCCAGTTTATTGGTGAAAGCAACAACTTTCTCATTAAATGTTAATGGCAATGTTTTGATTAGTCCCAGGGTTCTGGGGGGGAATTAAGTCCTTCCTTCAATAACCAGCAGTTACAGATGCAGCAAGTGTTAATAACCTCATAGGAAGCAAACTAAGCAGGCATACATTCCATCACCCAGAAAATGGATCTCATGTAGCTTTTTGAGGGACTGTTCACACTTAAAACCAAAAAAGTGTTTGATTTTTAATACAGAGATTTAGGCTGTTTGCAGCACCCAAAGCTGCAGTCCCATGATGTTGTTTCCCATTTCTCTCAGACCTGATGTTTAATGTGCTCCCTTCCTTACAATTTAAAGCTTAAAATGTCATCTGGTTGAGGAGTGGAGAGGTGAAGAAATGCAAACAGGAGCAGCAACTGTTCTCACACTTTTAGCAACTGTGCTCAAATGTCAAAAGAATAAACATAAGGAATCATGAAAGATTTAAATAGCTTCATATCTGACATGAGCTTTTAAAGCCCCAAATGGACTTTTACAGGGAAACAAGAGTATGTATGTGGGTTTTGTGGGAATGGAAAAGGGCTTCACATGCGAGCGTGGCATGAGAGTTTTATCAATTGTTGGCCTAAAGGCTAACTGGAGCCTGGATTTCATCTCTGTGCCATATGAGAGCAGCCAGCTGCTCTGCTTCTCCTACCCCATCACTGCTGCCATCAAGTCTTAGCTGGGGGAAAGTTTCTGTTAAACTGAGCCCAGAAAATGACAGGGAAAATCCAAGTCGAGGCTTTTGACTGGTTTTCCCAGTAACCTTAAGAGATACTTTAGGGATACTGTATCCCAGTTGAAGGTATGGGTTTGTTTCTTTTTTTTTTCAGGTTACTTTTGAGAGGTCTCTTTAGATATATAGTAACCTTTCTGGAGACTGTGTTTTAGGAATAGTGGTTTTTTACTGTGATCAGTTAACAAGTATGATCCTTGCATTTTTTTACTTCAGTAAAAAAAAAGGTGAACTGAATAAAACCACTTATTCTCTTGAGTAACCGGTCAGCTTAGACGTCTGCTGCACTTTGCATTTTAGGAAATAAACTGAAGCTGCACAAAGAAATCTAGAACCTTTGTCATGGCCAAGAAGCATGTCTGTTTTTTGTAGTGGGAAGGGCTTTTCCAGTGGATCTACTGCAGTTTGCCAGCCTTAGCACTGCTGTAACTCAGGAAGCTCTTGACATGCAGTCCAACTTCAGCACAGCACTAGGGGGTACGAATAAGACATCATTTACTGTAGTTTTAGCACAACAGGGAGACATCTGGCAATATTAGTGACCTCTGCACATCATTGTGCTCTAGTAATTTTTTTCCCCTGGCTTCATTTTAAACAGTTGTATGATGGGCTGAAAACCATATTTTAAACTCAGTCATGCTTGATGCAGTCTTGACTTACCTTATTTGGATTGAAGGTCAGTATCTATGACTTGATTTTCAGGCAGCTGAGGAAGCAGGGAGTGCTACTTGTCCTGTAAAGCACTCAGTGTTAACAACAGGCCTTTTGGTGCCACTCCTCTAAAACTGTGGTTCAAGATTGCTATCACTCAGCCTCAAACTGGCTGGAAAGCTCTCCTGACAGCTCTTATCCAGACTCCACCTAAAACAAAAGAGAAAAATGCAGGAGTGGATATGTATCAGAGGCAGGGAAGAATATTCAAACATTCCTAAGGATTCAACATGGTCACTCAACCTCCCATTCCAAGACAGTCAGTCCTTCTGCCTTAGTTTCTTTACAACCAATTTACAGTAAAGAGAGAAGCTGACACATGATATTTTGACATGACAGCAGTGCCATCAAAAACACTAAGGATCTCCTGCAGCCTTCTCAAGCCTTATTCATAAAAACCTTATGAAAATAACCACACGCTCTTTTGCATGAAACCATGCCTGCTGGCTGCCTGAATGGTGCTAACAGTATTTGTAAAAGGCAGGTAACAGACCGTGTATGTCAGCCCTATAACTAAATATAATTTTCATAATAGACATTCTTCCTATACAGTTCTTTCTCTGTTGTAATGATGAATAAATCCACAACAGTCCATGAGCTGGGATTTCTTGTTTGGCAGTTTATCCAACTTTTATGAACTAACCTACCTGAAAATGGCACTCCTAATGACACTTTGTGTGTATCAGTCTTTGCACATGCGGTATTTTGCTCTATAATTACCACAAGGAACAAAATAGAGGAACCAGTGATTTTTAAGGTTCCAGTCTGCAATCAAGACCTTAAATTTTGTAAGCTGTGTAAGAAGTGGAATAGGAACACCTGATACACTCCAGATCTGGGCCTTTTGGAGTCTCCAAGGCTGACACAGAGCATAATTCCCTGCAGAGAAGATCTAGATGCTCTCCTATATCCAGCCACGTGCTGCCACAAAATTCTAATATTTTCATTATCTCTAAGGCCCTGTGTGTCTCTGTCAGGTCTGTGGTAACAGAGAGGGAGGTTCCCAAATTTTATGTATGCAGCTGTGGATACGCGCAGAACACATATGTTGAGAACAGTCATTTATGGAGGAAACCAGGGTGAAATATGAGCAAGTCAGTCAATAAAAAGTTGGGCAATTCTCAAGACAGCAGTTAAAAGATTGATAAACATTGGTAAAAGTCTATGAATGGGACTGAGCACTTGCTACAGAACTGTGTACCATGGCATCCCAACAGCAGCCTCTTGAGTACTGCCAGCCTGCATGGGTTAATCTTAGAGTATCACCAAGAACAGCCTCAACAGAAACGAGGCTTTCATTCAGTGGTCACTCAACCTTAATTAAAAGGACACTTTTCAATTAAACTTCAGTGACATCTTCTGAAAAGAAGTTTTACACCTACTATATTTCTTTTGGACAAAACAGTCTGCTCAGCTGTATTCCCAGCTGTACACTCTGTTTTTCCCAGCTTGCTGGCATCCACAGCTATTTAGAAAGAAACTTTGTTATGTCAACTGCTAGGATTTTCTACAGTACATATTACATCACCTTTCCTGAGAAACTTGTTTGAGCAGATCCCTTTTCTTACTTTCTTGTTTCATAATGTCCTTCACATTTCTCTTTCAATATTTGTTGTTCTCTCTGTGGAAGCTTAGTTGCTGGCATTTTAAGGAAAGGTTACATAGCAAAAAGGTCACTAATAGAGGTTTTTTTCTCCCTGCCCCATACTCCTAGAGAGAAGCTCTCTGTGTGTGGCACCTTTAGAGAAAGGTTTAGAGAAAGTTTTCCCTTAAGAAAAATCTACAGCATTCACTGCCAGTTTCAGAAGAAGGAAATAAATTTGGAGCATAAATTACCTTTAATTCTAAAGGTGAAGAAATAAGGAGAAGGGCAAGCAAGAGACAAAACCAAATTATGCTTATTTGGTATTAAAAGCAAACAAGTAAAGAGTGAGATCCCTAAATTTCATCCTCATCCCTGATACTTAGGTGACTGTGCCTCTGATCAATTTGCTATGCCTCTGCTTAATTCTTGTTGAGTCTTGGCCCGTATGAAACAGCCTTGGAAAGCAACACCCATACATCTTTCAAAATACCCTCAACATAAAGATGTACCAATTGAAGTTTGATCTGGAGAGAGCTGAAGGTATTGGGGGCCTTCAGTTCAGGTCCAAAGCCTTCAAAGTAGGCAAGGTAAGAACAAATTGTGCTAAGTCTGGGGACAGGATTTGGAATAAGCTGCGAATGAAGCATAGGGAAAAAGAAAAGATAGACATTTCTAACCTTAGGTGCATAAATTTGCGTGGCTTAATGCACATGCTCACTAGTGGGAATACACGCACACACACGTGTGCCGTGAGCTGGCACGGGAGCTGGCTGCTTGCTGGTTATTGATGCAGGCTCTTGTACAGCCCCTCCTTGCAGCACAGGGTGTGTGCAGGGGACACACACAGCCTGGTGTAGAGCTTCAGCTCAGAAACATGGTAAGGATGCTTATTTTGGCTACTGCTAAGTGGCTGAACATGAAGTTGGGAGGTATCTTTTATCCAAATGCAGCTCTTTCTTCTACAGTGGCTCCCACATGATCTTCTTGAATAGTTTGAGTTTTTCTATATAAACAATGGAGGAGGAAATCTGATTTCCAGCCTAGGAAAGGAAACACAGCTAAGTGAACACTGTTAGCAAGGGCAAGCATATTGTATCTGCCTGTTTGAGAACCCACTGAGTTGAACAAAATCTTTTCATCAGCTGCAATAGTCTTTATTACACTCCATTTGAATGATCTGTTTAGGATTAAACATCCTGAAAGATACACTGCTTTTAATACCAAAGCATTTTCCATTCCATTTGCTTCAATTTAGCGAAATGCGGAATGATCTGTGTCATGTTTGACATGAAGCGTAACTGAAGCACCCTGAATCCTGCAAAAATGCTTTGTGGACTACAGTGGACTTGTGTTTTTTAAGAGATCTCTGAAAAATCAAGATTAAAAAACACTAGCAAGCTATTTTGAACAACCAGGCATAAATTTAGTACAAATAAGCCCTCATCTTTACTGGAAAACCTTTAAAGAGGTCATAAAAACAAACAAACAAAACAATTCAAAACCACTGTGCTTCAACAGCAAAATCATCTAAAATTTAGCTTAATATTTTTAGGATCAAGAGCCTGGACAGATAACTAAAGCAAATGGATAATAAAATAGCCAAGCACTGGTATCCAGTTAATGTATCAGCATACTGATGATGGTATATAAACAATGCTAAAAGAACAGGAAAATTATTAAAGCAGAATACAATACTTCATTTACTGTTCTGCTGGAATTCCTGCTCAGGAAGTCACTAATACACATTTTTTATGAACACTAGAAGTGAGTACAGGCAGGAACTTGCCTGTTACCCAAATTAGTGTGACTAGTGCTGAATGAGTCTTTCACTAATCTTTTTTAGAGCCTGAACTTCACTTCCAGAAAGGCAAGATTATTTGCGAGGTTCCATTTTTCCACTTAAATGCAGAATCAGACACATAGAGTTCTTCCAAGAGGTCTTTGGGTTTTAATTTCTTCTGAGCAAAAAGAGTATCAGTGTAACAAAGCCCAAAGAACCTGCTTTGAACTTGGTTAGCCAACCTCCCAGTTGTATGTTGGTATGGGAATTTTATTCTCTTTTCTGGAAGAAAGGAAAGAAGAGGAGAAAAAAACCCCAAAGAAAATAAGTCCAAAGCAGTATTCTGTTCTTGTTCCAGCTGATCTGTTCAGGATCTTGTCCTTGGCCTTTGCAAGACCATGAAAGACTTCGGTGTATGAAAAACATCACCCTCCCATGGTACAGCGGGACCCCCATGCTCCTTTTTACAAACATCACTCACAAGACTACAAGTGCTTTCCCACATTTCCTGTCTTAGAAGTTTCAGGTGAAGAGACAGCTGCATCATGCCAACCTATTGGGAAACATTAGACATGAGGTGTGTCTTCCAAAAGGTCTGAATCAGGATTGCAGTGCCCAAATCAGATGCCTAAAGTAGGGAGGCGGTCTCAATCCAGACTATCCTTTCCCCTTCCTGAAATGCTGAAGTTGCTGATCTTCCCAACTTGCCTTTTCAGTTGCTAAGGATTTCTGTCAGAAAGAGGTAATACAGCAACTCAGTTTTTACAGCACCAAAAAATGCTGCAATGAGACATTCAGCTCATGGTACTGAGGAGCACTTCTGTCGCATACAGAAGCACTGTGTAGGACAGGCTGCTGTCACAGGTAAATCAGCTGGTTTAGTAACAGACTGAAAGCTATGGCTTCTACAGAGAAAAGGCAGACTCATGACAAACCAAGGGATGTGACATAGGAAGGGAACTTCTCCTTCCATTTTTACGTCTCCCTCCCTCCATATTTAATTCCTTGTCCTCCCACTCTATTGCAAAAATTAAAAATGGCCATGTTATAGCTACAGACCATGCCAAAGACTTGTCTTCTCTCTCTCTCTCTGTATGAGTTAATCATTCCCAGCAAGCTTTCTGGGGTGATGAGTCAGTAACACAAAGAAATTACAGATTAGATGTGATATTTATTTCCCTCTGCTTTTTTTTTAAGCACAGCTGTCCCCCCCACCTGAAAGAACGGAGGAAGCAGTAATCAAATGCTCTGTAGCTGGGAGCTCTAAGGATAACACCTCCAAACTCTGCAGCTTTCCATAAAAGGCTTGCAGTTTTGATATTTTTTTTTGCTGTATGTTTACTCAGCAACACTGTTTTAGAAGTTGCAACATTCATCTTTAAACATTAATTACTAAGGCATGATTGCTTCAAAAATCCACTGCCTGAGGCCAGGGCCTAGGAAGTGGAAAATGTAATTTCAGAAAGCGATGAGAACAAATGCTGAGCCTTTTAATTGCAGGTTGGTACAGATGACTAACAATAAAGCAAAGCTCATTTTGGACAAATTTGTTGTTCTGCACATCAAATTCAAAACTTAGCAGTGAGTTGCCTGGGGTTTGTTCTTTCCCCCTATTCACTTTGTAAAAGTCAAGAAACAGACGAATTTTGGAGGTACAGGAAGTACTTTTCTAAAAATTCAGTAAAAATTATTTACAAGAGAGAAAGAGAGAGCAGAAGAAAGCGAGGAAGAAAGCAAGAAAGAAAAGCAGGGTGAAAAGAAAGACTAAATGATGCATGCAAAGTC